ATTGTGTGTATGTACCATAGTTTGTTTATCCATTCATCTGTTGATGGGCATCTAGGTTGTTTCCATCGTTTTGCTATTGTGAACAATGCTGCCATGAACACAGGTGTGCATATGTCTATTTGAGTGACGAATCTTATTTCTCTAGGATATATTCCTAAGAGTGGAACTGCTGGATCGAATGCTATGTCTATTTCTAGCTTTCTGAGGAAGTGCCATATCATTTTCCAAAATGGTTGTATCATTTTGCATTCCCACCAGCAGTGCATAAGAGTTCCTATCTCCCCACAGCCCCTCCAACATTTATTTCCAGTATTTTTGATTCAGTAAATCCACATTTTTAGGTATATTTATGAAGAAGCCATGACCCAGTGCACTTTCTTCCCTATGTTCCAGATAGTAATCATAAGAAATTAGCAAGCTGGGAACAAAGAGATCACACAGTAGTATTTTGAAATACTCTAGAGTGCAATGTGGAACAATGAGAATTCCAAACATTTTGGTTAGGATTTGGAAAAAGAGGAAAATATCCAAATCAAAATGACCCGAGAACAAATTTTAACTTATACGTGTTAGAGGAAAAAAGTTAAAACTTATCACATATTTGCTCTAGTGTAGGAACAGACATTGCAGTATAATCCCACATCTGCTGCCTAGGTTGCTTTTAGTTTCTGGTTGAGCTAGTCCTACAGCCTACCCCAAATGGCAACTCAGGATCTGGAAAATATAAACAACAAAAGGAAATAATTTTAAACACCAGTTTTACTGTCAAAGGCAAAATTTATTTACAATGATTGGAAGGGTCTTTCATTTTCTCACATGGCAACAGACAATAATGAGGCTGTATCTATGAATCCTGTGAACTTCCTAAGCTATCAAGGGACCCTACACACCGCAGGTCCACCCTTTAAACATCTAAGCACAGAGGACCATGGTTTCTAAAAGGAAGATGTCTGAAAATATTCAACATCTAACTGCCTACCTAAACTAGGAGATGCGATTCATTTTGTTCTTCCTTTTTGTCAAATAAGAAAGGGAGATTTAGAGACATGTATGTGGCCTTATTCACCATTAGAAAGAAGATAAGGATGAGATATATAGGCAGCTCTGATAATGCAGACAATTAGTTACAAGTGAAGTACTATTATCAACAAGATTTCTCATGTATTGGGAGAGCTGAGGCTTGCAATATAACAAAGAACAAAAGAGTGTAGAAATGTTTTTTTCCTAAATGGGGCTGCCCTTGGGTGGGCATAGAAATGTGCCTTGACAGTTGATGTAATTTAAAACAGCAGTTTTAAAATGTTAAGAAAATTAAAAATGCTATACAAACATATGTATTCTATGTCTTATTTTTTTAAAAATAAAAGTTGGATTTCAGCCATACTCCAAAAACTAGAATACTTGGGTCCCAAAAGCCAGACAGGAAAATAAAAATGAGGACTCACTGACAGAGTGCTGATAAGTTGCAATCCCTTTTCTGTAACTCAAGATCAAAAACCAAGATGATGCCAGAATGAGGAAAAAAACAGGGAAGTGGCTGTATGACAAAGTCTGAACTTTTGCTTAAGAAAAAGGACATAACTAGGTAAAATCTATGCACATCAAGAATGGGAAGGTAATGTGACAGGAATGGAAATGGCCATTAGTAAGGGGGGTGGCTTTGGGGGTGATTTTTTTTCATACTGTGTTTTCAGTTTTAAAGACAAAAAAAAAAAAAGGAAGGGGGCAGTACAGGAAAACACACCGTGGGAACAGAGTCAAGCACACAGATGTTTTGCGTAAGCTGCATTTTCAGAGACATCTGCCTTCGTGCAAGACTTGAAAAAGTCGAGCTGCCGTCAACAAGTTCTTCTCTGCAGTATGGGGTGGGGCCTGAGAGAAAAGTGAGCTGTGAAGAAACCAACAATCAGAACCCTCAGGGGTGAGAAACACAGAGTTTCTTAGATAAACTTCCTCATTTATGACCTACTCCCCTGCCCAAAAATGCTTTGCCATCAGCAATGTCTACTACTCAAACAAAGAGGACTCAAACTGACTATATTCTTTACTCAAGTGATTAAGGTTTTTGGTCAGCAGCACCACTCAGTTATGTGCAGTGATATCCCACCCCTGTGGTAGAAAAGATAGGGCATAACTCCTCCATTCTTGTTCCAATGCCAAAAAAAAAAAAAAAAAAAAAGATTATTGTGTATAGAGAAATGCATGTAAAAGCAAAGATAATACATTTGTTCATTTGCCCTAGCACCCTGCTTTGGTGTGTGTTAAACTTTATTTATGTTTCATTAGATAAACAGCCCTATGCCTATACTGTTTGCTTTTGCATGTAAGGCAACGGAGGGAGGGTGCCACTCACACTGCTTTCTAGCCCAGTGTAATGTATAGAGTGCTTAATAAATGTAACCTGAAAATGACAACAGGGATGCTGAAGGCTCAAGCATACTTCAGAGAATATATCAAAGTCATTATAAAACCTCTTCTTTGGTGCTCACCTGGCAGGTGACAAAGCCCATATGTCTTCTTCCTCTGCAGCAGAAACCACAGGGAGAGGCTGCCTCACTTGGTTTTGTTTGTAGACTTCTAACAAGCCTGGTGCTAGTGGGGAACTTCTACTTGCAACAGAACTTTCAACTTACTTGTGAAGTTCTTCCAAGGTTCTATCTGGTGTTCTGTCTTGAAGTTCCCTTTCCTGAGAAATTGGGTGTGTTGTATGGGTTACTGCCCTACATTTGCCCTACATAATGAGTTAACTACAATAGACTTTAAAAATCTCTTGCTCAAGCATAGTAGCCTCTTCTAGGTCCCATATATGTGCCTCTCATTGCCTGAATGACAATGGAGCTCATAATTTATAGGTTGATACAAACTTGTTGGGATAAAGCTACCCGAACTACTAATATAATCTCTTAGTTAATTCCACAGAGCTCACACAACCTACCTTTTCCCACTGGTTAAACAACCAAAGTAGAAAGTTACCACAGAGAAACCAAACTATCAACTAGATGACGATTTCAACTCAAAGTTAATGCACACCAAACAGAAGATGGTACCTGTTCCTTATGTACTTACATAATCTAATAGTGGTTTTGAAATGTGAATGTCAGATCCTATCCCAAGGATTCTAATTCAGTAGTAAATTTTTTAAGTGCTCCAGCTGCTTTTGAAACCTAGTCGAGTTTGGAAGCTACTTTTCAAGAATGCATCATAGGTTCCATTCAACAAATATTTACTGATAGCTTATTATGTGGCAGGTCTATTCTAGGCACTGGGAACATACAGTCAACTTTCATAAAAGTCCATGTTCTCAAGGAACCAACAGATTAGTGGGGGTTAAGGCAGGGAGACAAAAATATGTAAAATGTCAGGTAGTGATAAATGCTCTGAAGAAAACAGTGGGTAAGAGGCTAAAGAACAACAGGGTAGAGTAGCCAGGAAAGACCTCTCTGCAACAGGTGATATTCAAGCAGAGGACTGAATAAACAATAAGCCAAATACACTTGCTGCCCTCTCCAGAAGAGCAGGGAGGCAGGCAAGTCCCAGGGATTTACAGCAGCAGGTTAGGTCAACACTCAGGCCTGCCCTTCTTGGAGATATAGTTCTTCCTCCAGAGAAGGCCATTTCTGCAAGCTGTCCTGGAGCCCAGTAGGTATTAGCCAGGTGAAAGGAGCCTGAGAGGGAGAAGAAAGGATGTTTCAGGTAGAGCCAGCAGCATGTGCAAACTTCAATCATACTGTATGGTGAAACAGTGGAGGGAGGGATGCAATAAACATGGGGAGAGGTAAGCAGGGCACAGATCCCAAAGGGTCTTATATAGCTTGGCAAGGAATTTGGGTTTATCCTAAGGATAACAGACAGCCAGTGTCTGTACTTTCAGAAAGATTTCCCCAACCATGGTGTGGAGCATGGACTGAAAGAGGATGTGCTTGGAAGCAGGGAAATAAGTTACTGTAGAATTCCAGGCAAGAGAGAAGGGTGGTCTGATCTGAGGTAATGGGAATGAAGGAGAGATACCTCGGGAGATATTGTTTAGTTTACTTTCTGTGGCAGATGGAAAATTTACTCCATAAAGAAATTAAAATTGTAAGAAAAACCAGAGATAGAAATGCTTTGATATGTGCAAATTCCTCACACTCATAAAGAACATTTTTTTTCTTTGTACCTCCTGACTCTTACGCCAGATCCTTCCCTCTAACAAATTGCAATGCTTTAAGACTCTCAGATGAGGCATAATAAAAGAAGTCTATTTACACGTCTACTAATTTCCATACCACTTGCCTTTGCCCAAACTTTTCTCAAAATAGGGTTTTTCCACCATCTCAATGTTCTAAGTTTTACTTTGTTAATCCTCAGATTTGGAGATCAAATCAGCTTTAACCTATCTGCCAGCTGACAGCCAATCATCCCAGACAAGCCAGGGAACCTTAAAGGCAATTCCTCCTCATGTCACTTTGTTATCACACATGTCTATATCATTTCCTGCCAGGCACCAAACCTCCAGCATCAAGGAGGAACAGCTGAGGAAAATGCTTTTACACAAAGGACTTCCCTCCTTCCTTTATCCCCCATTTTACGGATATGACATATACTGATGATACAGCCAAGGCTCAAGTTAAATGAACGATAATGCAGCTAAATTCTGAAATTGTCATTTTAAACTAACCATAAAGAAAGCTTAGTTGTCTCAGCATAGTAACGGGCAAAAGATGAATCCGAAGCTGAAGCCAATTTCAGTCAAATGAAGGCAAGTGAATTTTACAAATTCATCTATATTTCATTCAAGAGGATGTTAGTGTAAAAGAATGGTAAGCAGGTAATGCTAAATCTCTTTGGCTCTGAGCTAAATTAAGTAACCCATTATTAAAGAACATCTATGAGAAGACAGTTTTCAGGGACTTAATTTCCCCACCTCTAAAATCAGTAGCTGTGCAAAACACAGCTGCTGAAGAATTTAAAGAGAATTTATATTAAAGATGAACCACAGACTACCCAGCAAAAAGGACTGGTATATTATGTCTGGGGAACATAATTTGATCCAATGTATACTTAAACCACAGTGAAGCTGTCATGTTGTGACAGGCAACTAACTTCATTTCTCACCTCTCCTACAAATGGGAGCATAACAATAAACAAGATGTTAGAGCAAATTGGGATTAAAAATATGACAATATGATGAGGTGGCAATCATATTCAGAATATACCATTTTGAAAAGGAGCTCAACAACAGAAGTTCAAAATATCCCTAAATCAAATCTTTCCAAAAATGGACTTCCAGTTCATAGATCATGTTTTCACTGACTTAGAGGAGGCAGTAAATAGTAGGTACACAACTGTCCAGGGTTTTCTAACTCCACTTTACCTGTGGCTAGGTGCCTCTGAGTCACTTTTAACACTTTAGATGGTTTCTCTACTTACAAAAGAACAAGTCAGTATATCACCTGCTTTAGGGAAACATGTAAGGACAGAGAAGAAAGAGTATGAAAATGACAGTTATGTGACCTGGAGTTCTTGCTCTGCCACTAATTAATTATATGTGGTGACAGAATCTGGATTCTCAATTTATATAATATTATAAACTCTTTAACTTTATGATTCTAGGCGACTATCAATGGGAACCTTAAAAGCACTCCATTAGTTCAAGATGAGATCACCATTTTTCTACAGCATTAAACAACTAAAATACCAGCTAGGTTTTCCACAGCCGAAGAGGTAACTCTTAAAGAATGTCCCTTAAGTTATGTCACAATGGGCTGGGCCACTCTGCAAACATGACAGCTCAAACCCTGTAGGTTTCCGTTTAGTAACCAAATGGCTCATTTGCACATTGGATCCCTGCTTCCCCTGGAAAATTTTTCTGCAAGTGGAAACCCACCCCTCCTGCCCCCCCAACAAAATGTTGGTCAATTAAAAAGAAAGGGATGGGAAGGGAGAATTTCTTTTAAGAGAGAGGCTGCCTTGAATAGTTTTACACTCACAAAAAGGGTAAAAGATGGCTGCCTGAGATAAGGGGTGGTGTACTGGAATCACTTCATGGGCTGTCTATTAGGCCCCTAGGAAAGTCATTTTACCTCTCTGTATCTCAGTCTTTTCACTGTAAAACAGGATTACTGATATCTACTCTGTTTCATACACTTGGGGATAAAATATCCTTTCTTCTTAGTTGCAGGGCAATGTGCTTCTCTTTTTATATGACCTTTCTGGCCATGGTCTTGTAACTCCCACAAAATGATTGAGTGGGACTGTGCAAACAAGGTGCCTGTGGCCCACCAAGGGAATTGGTCAGTTTTGCCATCCCAATAGGCTTAAAAAGAGCCAGTCCCACAAGTTGAGGGGAAACCTCACTACCATCAAGAAGAAGAGCCAGGGGCAAAGCATGTCCTTTGGACCCTAGGACCCTGCACTGAAAACCTCCTAGACCCAGAAGACAGAGAGAGCTGTAACACTGAAGACAGTGCTAGACGGTGTTAGAGAGTGCAAGGGGCGAGAACCAGGAGACCAGCACAAGACGGCTGTGGTGGACTTCCCGGCACACGGCGTGAGGTAGCTGCAGTGGGCTCGCTGACACACAGAGCAAGAGAGCTGAGTGCCTTAGGGCAGGAGGCTTCCTGGCGGAGTAGGGTGCCTGTGGGCACTTACTGGTGGAGCTAAAGAGCTGTTAACACTTGCTGGAGCAGGGCAAAAGCCAGGCCCGAGCAGGGCCCGTGGCAGAGGCCTGCCTACAGGCATGTCTGAGAAGAAGCTGTTCTGATCAAAGAACTGTATCCTGAGTTGTTTCTGTTACTTCCAAGTTGATCCTGATCCTGAATTGTAACCTGTTACTTCCCTAATAAACCCCATAATTATGAGTATGATCTGTGAGTTCTGTGTGGCCACTGCAACTAATTATTAAACCCAGCACAGAAGTAGAGAGTGCCGTGGGAGGGACGGCTGGTGTCAGAATTGGTAAAATGGTTGGAGAGTGGAGGTATATCTGACCTCCACCTCATAAGAGTCAGCTTTGGGCTGATGCTGATTGTGATTCTCATCTCTCCCCCTGAAATTAAATGAGATCTGATGCCACCACTTTACATTAGCAAACAAGTTTGCGGAAGCTTCGTAAAAAGCAGGAAGCACCAGTTATATAAATGCAACTTATAATTTTAAAGTACTTAAGGTACATGAAAGTTTCACCTTTCACATTCTGAATAAATGTTAATTTTTGGTCAATGAAAGAGAAAAAGAAATCATCCTCTATGTGTGCTTTCACATGGAATTAATTCCTGCTTTCTTTCTAAGATGACTCCTTTTAGCTTGTAAGACAATTTTTGGTCTAGTGTAGAAAAACTTTTTACCTACAGAAGCCAAGCAACTGGAAAGTGCATCTCAGCCTATAATCAGAACTAAAACAGTATCCCTGTTTCTTTAAATATTACTGTAACACTAGTAATGAAGCAAGATCAGCTAAGGTCATTCTACTGTCTCTCTCTGTATTAGCGAAGCCCACACCTAGCTATATTTAGACAAGGTATGCACACCCTATTAAAGAGAGAAGAAGAATCAGTCCTAGGCTTAGGCCTACAACAGTGGGCTTATTATCTCAGGGGGAAAGACACTAACAAAAAACTGTATTCTACTGGCAACCAATAGAACAACCAATGCCCAATTTTATTTCACCCTGAATAAACAGATAATCTCTAATATACACAGAACAATCTCTACCACACATAACTGGACACAGTAATGTCTAAAGAAAAGCAGTGAACATCTTTCAGATAACTCACTCGCCAGGACTGTCAGCCATACCTTAGCCAGTGAAAAAGAGCTGCCCAGGTCAACAGGGTAAAATGTTCAGTAGCTTGGTCTCCTGGGAACTGGACAAACAGGTTTTCAACCTGGGACTCACCCCTGTATCAAAACTACCAGAGTCTGGCTGGGGAGCGTCCTCCAGCACTCTTCTAACTGACAGCTTCCTGGATCCAGCATTTGGCAAAGGAAGAACCAAATGGGACAAAGCTGACTAACGTATTTCAAAAAAGAAAAAGAAAAAAAAAAAAAAGCTCAGGGGACATGGATTTTATAATAGTCAGGGCCATGGTGCTGTATGTAACGGGGGAACCTGTTTGGGTGGAACTTATTTTCTAAATGGCCCCTAAGTCAAGAATTCAAAAGAAAAGGTCTGAGGAAAATATCTTAAAGAAAATACAGCTGCCCTCAAGAGAAAGCTAAGAAAATCCTAAATAACAACCAGATGTTTTTGGAACCTCTCCAACTGTCAGGGGGTAAAAATTAAATACATTTAAAGAATGCAGTAACTATACTTTTGAAACATAAGTATAACAAATAGGAATTTGTTTATCTTCATTCAAAGGAAACTGCACATTGCAATTATGAACATTTCTACTGCAGGAAAGATAAGCAGATGTTGGATGTTTTCCCAAAGTTTTTCTAGTGCCACTAAAGAGGTTTGTGGAATCTGCTTATATTTTTTTCAGATTAACAATTAATGCTAAAAAGGCAACATTTCAATTTTTTTTTCTCTTTATATTTTAATGTTTCTACAGCAGCAAATTTAAACAATAGCTACTAAGGAGAAAATAACTGAACATATGGTTTATACACTATACTTGTGTATTTATTTTCCATATTTACTTCTAAATTAAAACCTACATAAATAAATTTTTTAAAAAAACGAATTTTGAAAAACCCCATTTTCTGTTTCCTCTGCATTAAAAAACTCTACTTAATGAAAAATATGTCTATCTAAAAATCCTCGTTTGACACTGAAAAGCTAAAATAATCCCCTTGGAGGAAAACTCTAGGTAAATAAATTTCTTTTTTATGGGGTGTTTAATTTCTAAGAGATAAACTGGTTTCAGTTTTCTCAAGGCTTTATGCAAAACCCAGAAATTTTTGCCAGAGCAAACAGGCATTGGATTAAGGCTTGAAAAAATAAATAATGTGAGGCAGCAAGAAAGCAAAAATGGCATCTAAAACATGACTGCTCACACTTCTGCAAATTCATAACTGTACATGGTGTGCTGCAGAGATTGGTTTTAGTAGCAAAGAATGGCTTAACGGGTTGGAGAATTTCTGACCTTCAGGGCCCAGCACAGTTATATAGCACATTCATTCCACTAAATTTCTAAGTCCAGGGCAGTGGTCCCCATCCCCAAATCTTCCAACAAGCTCTTTATAACTAATTTAATAAACACCTGGATTAATGCAATTAGAAATTTTCCTACCTCATGCTGAAGTGAATCTCACAACTTTTTCTTAAAAATAACAACTTTAAATCATTTCTGCCTCCCTGGATATCGTCCAAAACAGCAGAAGTTCTTTACCCCAATATATTGCTTCTCTTTATCACTCGTCACATAAGTTGTGACCAATTGCTGAGGAAAACAAACATTTGGGCTTTACTGTAATATTCCCTGTTTCCTTAAAGCAAATACCATTCTTGGAATATCTACTCCAAGATTATTACAAGACAGAAGAAATTCAAAAGGCCACATAATCCTTCTCAATAGAGAAAAAATGCTAGCTCAAATTCTTCCAGCATGGGGAAATCATGAGTGATTGTTTAATAATGGATCAATAAATCTCACTGGTTAAGTTAAAAAAGCTTAAAAAGAGTTTTTACTTGGTATCTAAGTCAAATACCTAAAACAGCCTATTCTGGGTTCTTAGTTTTTTTCTTTTTTTGGGTAGTGGTCATTAGATTCCTTTGAGAATTTAATGAATGCTATGGCCCTTTCCTTCAGAAAAATAAATGTCCTAGTCATATACAGACCCAATTTTACGTATGATTTCAGGGTGTTCATGAACCTCCTAAAGGGCTAAATAAAGGAACCTGGTAATCGCCCTAAAGAAAATAGGGGCAGCTAGGAAGTAACAGCCTCCCCACCATGGCCCCCTGTCCTTTTAGGAGATAACAGCTCAGCTTTAACAAGATGCAAACAGTGAAATGACTGAAGCTTCCACTAAATTTTGAAACCAGAACACCTATGAATAGATAAGGTTTGGGAGTTTCTAAGGGTTTGTCTTCTATTAATACTTTGGATTATGCCATTTTAAAACACGTAACAAGCAAATCCTATGAAAAGATCATCTTCCTGTCTGTCTCCATCATGATACCTCCTCTTCCCCCGTTTCTGAAAATCCCTCTATGATAAATATTTTACATTGCAAAGATTCCCCCAGATTAGGTGAAGTTCACCTACTGAAGCCCTACAGTACTAGACATAATAGGATTTCAGAACAATAAAGGATTTTGGATAAGATTTTAAAATTCATTAAAATTAAATCTGACCAGTAAATGAAGTTTTACATTTCCTGAACCTACTGGATACTCTAGAAATCTTAACAGCTACCCGGAACGTGTCATTTGATTACAGTACTTACTTTCTAACAATGTGAGAAATCTAAGATTACCAATCCCTTAAACATTGCTTTATGCGGTAAGTGATTCAGCATGAAAGGAAATGAGCAGATTTAGAGCTTTACTGATCTTATGATTTTATAGTCTATGCTACAAGGGAAAGGAGATTAAATATAAAGCATGACTACTATCATAAAGGTTAAAGCTTACAACAGTTAACAACCCTCATCTAATGACATTATGCCCATCAATGCAGAGGCGTCATATTATTTAGATTATTTATTAAAGTTAAAAAATTGATTCATACATTTACACAAAATTTTACACTTCAGTTTGTGGCTCAAATAATAGCTTATAAGTGTCCTGACCATTTTCTTTTTAAACGGCACTCCCTTGCCCTGGCTTACTTTCCACATTTTTATTTTGACTTGTTTTTTCTTTATAGCCATGTATCATGAGCTGATTATTTATTTATAGTAATTTATTTAGACTCTGAAAAAGTTTTAAGAGCTGAGACTTGGTCTTTTCTTGTTCACTGATGCATTCTCAGTACCTAGAACATCATAGGTGATCAATAAATGAACACATATCAATAAATGGTATTTACTAGGTAGAGATATAAAATTAATTAGAGGCAAATAAAGCATAGTACAAAAGCATGGAATATAAAGTAAGAAGACTTAGCTTGAATCACTGCCTTTTTACTTATTAATTAAATGACCTTAAACAAGTCATTTAATTTCTTTGAACATCAATCTTTCTCCTTTAAAAAGATGCTGAAATACCTATCATAAGGTTACTGCAAGAGTCACTGGAAATAACGGAAGTGAAAACCTGTTTCGAACTGTAGATCACTACCCAAATGCTAGTTATTATTATTATATCCCAGCAGGTATGCTTGGCAAACCAGCAGAAAATTCTGCAAAACAGATCTTAAGAAAGTGAGATACTCTGTCACGTTTATCCTTGGTTTTGCAGACTTGTAGAGATAGAATGGAATAGTGGGAAAACTTGGCATTAGAAGGCATGGGCTTGAACTTCACTTACCAGCTGGCTGACTTTGAGAAATCCTCTTAACCTCTTTGAGGATTAATTTTCTTTTCTATAAAATGAGGGGAAAAAATACTGTCTCAAAAGGGTAACTGAATCAAATGTTGACTCAATTGCGAAAGTACTTTTTAAACTATAATACTGTGTCTGTATTTTCAGTTAAATCAGTTAACTACCTTTCCTTAAGCAAACCCTAACCTTGATTGTTCCACTAGCCAAGTGAAAGGAAAGATCATTCCAGAATGGGCTCACAGGGACAAACAGAAGAAGTATAAAAACCAAACCCAATGCCATCGAGTCGATTCCGACTCATAGCAACCCTGTAGGGCAGAGAAGAACTGCCCCGTAGGGTTTCCAGGGCTGTAAATCTTTATGGAAGCAGACTGCCACATTTTTCTCCTGCGGAGTAGCTGATGGGTTCAAACCACCAACCTTTCGGTTAGCGGCCAAGCTCTTTT